CTTTTCTTCTTTTATTTCTTTCTTCTTTCTCTTCATCCAACTATCCACCAACTTTTGTCCCCCTCTTTTCCTTTCTTTTATTTTATTTAAACACAATACCTCTCACATGTTTTCATCCACCGCCCACATCCCTCACTTTCTTTAATATATTTTTTTTATTATAATATATTTTTCCTATCCCTACTTTTATTTTATTTTATTTTTTCTATCTTTTTTTTTTTTCATCAATGTTTCATTATTATACGACTCGTTAGTGAGCATCACCCTTTTTCCATTATCTTATTATTATTTTTTTATATTCCACAAAAAAAAAAAAAAAAAAAAATTCACAACCTATGTGCCAAAAGTGGAACTTAACATTATAAACATAATTTTGACCAATCAATAAGTTTCAAGTAATCAAAAATTTGTGCCACCTATCAACAATCCATGGCTTAACACAAATCATCCTTCATTTGTATTTATACAGGGACAACCTGAAATATTTCGTACATTTTTTCCTCTTCTTTTCTGACTAATCATAAACAACATATAAATATTTGGAGCTCTCTTTAATGAGTAAGACAACTCTGATCTCTACATTTTCAGATTATTCTAATTTGCACTTTTGTTGAAAATTCTACTTTGGTAAACCTTCAATGTCATAAGAGACAATAATTTGCACTTTTGGAGCCATTTTTTTCATCAAATTTGAATCTGATGAACAAATTGATGAACAATTGGAGATGCACACATGACTTCAAAGTATACTGATTGGCCTCAATATCAGTTTGCACCGCCATTTTTTGCTCCACAGACCGCATCGGAAAGTTCAACGGAGTAAACCCAGATGTGTTTGGTTGAGGTTCACTGGCCACCGCACCAGTTATCTCTCTTGTTGACTCGTTGAGGTCGGGAAAGAGAGTGAGTAGACCACGGGATGAAGAGTCCATATTCTGGGTAGTTGAACGGGAAGAAGAGGCCATTGTTCCGATGTTTCAGAATGCAAATATTCAGATGTTTCAGAATGAAAATGTTCAGCGGTTTCAGACTGGTTTGCAAAGCCTCCGCCTCAACCTTGGTTTAAATAGCCAGGGTCGATCTGCGCATCGTGCGCCACTTGACGTCAGACGACAAAACGGGCGCGCAAGCCCAGGTAATCACGCGCTTCGCCATCATGTCCGGCACACCTTTTGATGGCACACCTTTTGATGGTACGCCTTTTGATGAATTGGGCACGCCTTTTGAAAGATTGGGCACACCTTTTGAGGGTGCGACTTTTACAACGGTCCGACATGACCCCATAAACTGTCCCGACATTTGATTCTGGTTAGCATCTCCAACGGTCCGACATGACCCCATAAACTGTCCCAACATTGATTCCGGTTAGCATACAGTGTCCTCTACAACGTTATGACACCACCATACAGTGTCCTCTACCACGTTATGACACCACCATCCAGTGTCCTCTACCACGTTATGACACCACCATACAGTGTCCTCTACCACGTTATGACACCACCATACAGTGCCTTCACTAACGGTCTGACACGACCATACAGTGTCTTCTATCCTCTTTTATTTTATGTATTTTCTTGTTCTGTTCCTCTCTCCAAACTCAAGTTGGTTAGTTTCTATCCTCCTTGAGTTTGCGGGGCTGTTAAAACTTACCATCTTACCATCACCTACTACACCTACCACCACCTACTACCATCACCTACTACACCTACTACTTCACTTCACCTACTAAATCTCCTATATAAAGAGTACCTCACCATCTGTAATTTACATCAAAAACATCAATCAATAATACATCAATTTTTAACAATTTGGGTTTTTTTTCTTTGTGAAAATCACAAAATCATAACGGGGTTCACACACACACAAACACACACAAAGATGGCTATAGCTCGGTTTGGTCGACAAGCAAAGCGCTCATATGGGTTCTGCGTAAAGATGACGGCAGTGGCCGTCGTGGGTCTCTGTTTCATTTTGATTTGGTCTCTGTTTTCCTCTTCTTCTTCTGTGGTCTCTCAGAGGAGTACTTTTGCAGATGTTGCCGAACCCGTGTCTTCCAATGGAAAATTTGTCGATTCTGAGATTCATTCGAAGGAACCCAGGAAAGATCAAGTAGGTAAAAAACACAAGAAAGCGAAATTGGGGTCTGATTTGAAAGAGAACGACGAGAAAAGGATTAATGGGTCTGCATCTAATGTCACTGTTGATGCGCACAAGGGTGAGGGAAAAGCAGGAACTGAGAAAAAGGAGGGAGATAATAATCACGGGTCTGTGGGATCTGAAACTAAAAAGCTTCAAGAAGAGAAGAGAGAACAAGAAGGTGAATTAGAAGTAGTGGGTGGAGAAGGGAAAGAAAATGAGGATTTGGATGGTGATACTGAATTGATTCCCACTGATTATATGGTAGAAGATGGGTCGAAAAGTACAGGGAAGAAGAAGAAAATTGGGTCGGTGTTCGATCCAAATTCTTACTATTCTTGGAAAATGTGTAGGAGAGAAGTTGGATAGGCGAGGGTAAGTTCGTATTTTTCTTTTGAAATTTGAAATTAAAATATAATTTTTTAACTTTTTTTTTGTTTTGAACGTGTCGATAAAAATAAAATTGAAATGATTTTAAAAGTTTTAGAGGTAAAATTAAAATTATTTAAAATTTAGGGTGTAATTAAAAATCAAGATAAAGTATTGAGGCAAAAATTTGAATAAAACCTCTAAAACCTTCTCTATGGCATTTTATGTAGGGCCAGGTTTGTCTCCGGTTTATTATGTGAAATGGACAGTGTTATTGGGTTTGTGAGACTTGTCGTGGATCTTGTTTCGATAATTCAGACGGATCAATGTGTAAATTTCGTCAATTACTTTACTTTTATAAAAAAAATCAAATTGATCAAATACCGATACCTAGTTGATCGGATCATATTTTTGTCAATAAATTTTAATTAACTTAATTTTTTATAAAAATAAAATACTCGACAAGTTTTACACATTTAACGATTCAAATAATTAAAACAGGGTCTTTGATAGACCTCTACAAGTTTAACAATATGCTCTAATCCAATCTCAAACTGGGAAGAAGCTGGACCCTTTTCTAATTGTAATTAGAAATGATAACAAACAGATCGGGACAGCTTTTGATCTCCTCATCCCCAATATATTATAATTAGGGATGGTAACAGACAGAATGGGACAGCTTTTGAACTCCACATCCCCAATCCTCTGTTCTGATTTTTCCCAATCTCCACGGGCCTCAGCTTTTCCTGTTTTGTTAGTTAGTTAGTTTTATTTTTATTTATTTATTTTTGCTTTTCCTGTTTTGTTAGTTAGTTAGTTTTATTTTTATTTATTTATTTTTTAAAAAAAAATTTATCCATAAATCTTTTACAGGAATTGTTGATTTATGTAGTCTTAATAATGTTCTTATAAACAAATTAGTCTTCTTTTTGTTTTGAAAAAGTTGTATTTATTTAATTTGGTACTATTTGAGTTTAATTGAATATTCTTTTGTGATTTATTTTTCTAATTTTCCGATTCGTTTTTGGCATGAGAATGAAAACGTGAGGTATGAGATTATTTTTGGAGATTGGTGGTTGAAGTGTTGATTGTCAAGCATGGAAATCTATATTTTTGTTAGTGTGATTTTTTGGTGTTATATTAAAATGCTATATAATTATATTAGAGTGTTACGTTTGAAAAAAAATACACTAAGGAGTTTTTATGTGTTACATTGATTAGAGTATTATGTTTGAAAAAAATACGCTAAAATTTTCTTTTAGAATGTTACGTTATTACATTAATTTGAGAAAAATATACTAAGGAGTTTTTTAGTGTGTTATATTGGAGTATTATGTTTGAAAAAAGTCCACTAAGGAGTTTTTTTAAAATGTTACGTTGTCACGTTTGGGGATAGTATACGAAAGAGTTTTTGAGTATGTTACATTTGAGTGTTATGTTTAAGTTACATTTGGGGATAACACACTAAGGAGATTTTTAATATATTACATTGGGGGAGTTTTTGAGTGTTATGTTTAATATCTTACACTTGGGGAGTGTTACATTTGAAAAAAGTACACTAAGGAATTTTTTTTTATTGATTGGAGTGTTACGTTTGGGAAAAACATATTAAGGAGTTTTTTTTACAATATTACGTTATTACGTTTGACAAAAGTATACTAAGAAGTTTTTTGGTGTGTTATATTGGAATGTTACTTTTTAGAGTGTTATATTTGAGAAAAGTACACTAAAGAATATTTTTTAAATGTTACATTTAATAATTTTAACATCATGACAAAACCCACATTTATACTTTAACACACAACACATTTGCGTTTATGTTTAGCCATTTATGTAATTTACAATAGAATGAGACTTTTGGGTCCATAAAAAAATAAAAAAAATAAAAAATAAAAAATAAAAAATTCAAACAATTCATAAGATCATTATTTGAAATTTATTAGTTATTTACTCATTTTTTTAAGCAACAAACAACAAAAACATAACAAATTAATTAATTAACAAGCTTATTTTAAAGGAATTGAATTTATAATCTTCGAACAATCAGATAAGTTAGTATGATAAAATTGAAAATTAACTATGCAAAAAACACATTATAAATTACAAGATACTAAAATATGGTAAAATTAAAATTAAATAAAAAGGATAAATAATATTTTTCACTTCTATTGTCTAATTCAAATTTTACAGTCCATATTGTTTTAATTTAAACAATTGTAATGAAATAAATTATTATTATTATTATTATTATTATTATTATTATTATTATTATTTATATATAGGTTATTCTGAGTTAACTTGCACGAGCTAAACTATATTTCTACAATTTGAACAAGCCTTCCGAAGTAAAGTTTTACCCTATAGTTCATGGCCGCAAGAATTTTTAATAATGAGGGAAGTCAAATCTAAGATATTGAAAGAAACAAACCTCCAAATCCCAGCCTCACCAAGCCAGACCCTTGAGGTTATAATTAAACATTTTATGTTGGGCTTACCTTCCATAATTGATCCATTTATAGCATTATTGCTTAGGTCCAAAGTCTTGAGTGATGGGAACGCATTGAGAGATGATATGATGCTATGACTGAATAAATTGCCGGCCAATGTAAGTACCTTCAGCTTGCTTAAGACAGATAATCTTTCAAAATCTGCACACACACACACACACACAAAAGAAGTCAATTTTCATTTCAAATCACCACTATCCTCACAACTAAAAAGGAAACACAAAGATTGATACGAAATCCATTTTATTAAAATAAAAAAGAGATAAATGCACAAATGGTTCTTAAAATATACATCTTGTGTGATTTTATTTCTAAATATTTCAATGCATCAATTTGGTCCCCAACCTATAAATTTTTTCATTAAATGATCCATACCTCCGTTTCTGTCTACCATTGACAATGGAAGTAAGGACATTTTCATCAAACCACCTATGACACTGAATAAGTTGGAGATTAAATTGATATAATTAAAATATTAAACCTAAATAACACAAATCGCATATTTTGAGAGTGATCAGATTGTCATTTTTTTCTTGTTTGGCTGATGTATAAATGTGGTTTTACAAAAATATCCAATTACTTCTGTTATCAATTGGAGACGAAAATGAAAGTAGATATTATTTAATGACAAAATTAATACGTTGGGGCTAAATTGACACATTTGAAATATTAGAGACTAAAATAACAGAAGACACATCATATGGGGACCATATGTGTATTTAACTCAAATTAAAAAGGGTAAATTACATTTTGCACACCTACACTTTGCATCTCACTTTGACATCTACACATGAAATCATGACAGTTAACCCTCTACACTTCTGATCAAATTTCACTTTGGTCCCTACATATAAAATCGTGACAGCCAACCCCGTATACTTTTATTCAAATCACACTTTGGTCCCTACACAAGTGTCAATGTTCCTCTTTTATTATTTTATTTTTAAATCTTTAACAAAATCAAGTCATGTAACAAAAATGTGACTGCGAAATAAAGGTAAAAGAGGAAAATTATCCATATTTCTCATCAATACACTTTGTCCTATGTGATAAGCATGTGAGAGTTATATAGTATATATGTTCGTATGGTAAAAATTGAGACGAAAAGGCAAGAAAATACAACTCTTGAAATATTAAAAAAAAAAAATGCGACAAAGAAATAAAAAAAATAGAGATGAATAGACAGAAGATTGTGGTACCATAAAAAACAGAGTTTCATGATTTCAATTTATGCAAAACTAATTCATCTCCTTAATTGTTCACAATCTGCGTTTTGTTTTAGCCTAATACAGTAATATTTTGATGTAAATTTTTAGATAAAGTGTGTGTTGATGAAAAATGTAGATGATTTTTCTTTTTTACCATCACGTCGTAGTCATATTTTTATCACATGACTAGATTATGTTAAAGATTTAAACAATTGACTAACAAAAATAGGACAGTGACATTCGTGTAGGTACCAAAATGAGATTTGACCAAAAGTATAAGGAGTTGATTATCACAATTTCATGTAGAAGGACCAAAGTAGATTTTGACTAGAAATACAGGGATTGACTATCATGATTTTATGTGTAGAGACCAAAGTGAGATTTAGTACAAAGTGCAGGGGTGCAAAGTATAATTTACCCAATAAAAAATAAACCACAAAATACATAATTTCATCACAAATTAACGTAAGAAAATGTCTAAAATTATGTAATTGATGTTACAAAAGTTTGTGATTTGATTACAATATTTTTTATTACGTTAATTTATAACGAGATTACGCATTTTGTTGCGATTGATATTACAAAATTTTATGATAAAATTATGCTAATTTGTGATAGGCTTTCCCATATTGTTAACATACCTGAATGCGTTGTAAAACCATCAAGCCTATTATAACTAAAATCCAGCTCCTCCAAGTTATTCAAATGTTTGAGAGCTAGTCACAAGTCAAGATAGAGACCAAAGTGAGATTTAGTACAAAGTGCAGGGGTGCAAAGTATAATTTACCCAATAAAAAATAAACCACAAAATACATAATTTCATCACAAATTAACGTAAGAAAATGTCTAAAATTTTGTAATTGATGTTACAAAAGTTTGTGATTTGATTACAATATTTTTTATTATGTTAATTTATAACGAGATTACGCATTTTGTTGTGATTGATATTACGAAATTTTATGATAAAACTAGCGGTTGGGCACACACGATGTGTGTGCAAATTAAATAAATAGGAATAAAAGAAAATAATAATGAAATTAATATTATAATGTGTACTTAGTTTAAGTGGTATGAGTCCTCATACTTAAACCCATGATCATGGGTTCAAGCCTTGCCCATCCCTTTTTTTAACTTTTTTTAAAAAAATAAAAAACACTGCCACATGGCATGAGGAGAGTAAAGCAAGCTTCACGACACCATATTATGTGTTCACTTTATAATAGTACTAATTTTTTTAGAATTATAATATAAATTTCATATTATTTTTTTTAATAATATAAATACAAAAAATAAATAATAATCTATTAATATAAATAATAAAAAATCCAAAAAAAATTAAAAAACATTAAGACATAAATTGTAAACACACAAACACAAATGTTGATATAAACCAAGAAAAATAATAATCAAATTTTTTTTTTTTTAAACCTGATAACACAATGAAACATTTCATTTTCTATACATTTTTTTATCGAAAGTATGATTAACAATATTTAGTAACTTTTGTATGATGAAAAAAATCAAGGACTGAAGCTATTGTTTTTATTTCCTATACTATTCACAGAACTAAACAGATTATGTAAAACAAAATAGAGAAACATTAAGAATGTTCGGGAAGAGAAAGACTGACCCATTTTTTTCTGAGAGCAGAGTGACCACACCAAAGATGAAGAACATGAGAAGCATTCCAGAGTGCTCAAAATCGTTCATGTGAGATGGGTTGAAGACACCGTTGACAAAGAACTTGAGGTGCGTAGAATTCAAAAGTTCTATGCACATATCAATAAAAGCACCAATTGCTATAATGTGTGAACGAAGGGGAGAGAGAGAGATAGGAAATTGAGTATTGGGTAGTTTTTTTTGAACAACCAAGTATTGGGTAGTTGATTGAGAGAGAAAGTGGTAAACGTGGGATGTTGTTTTTTTTCTTTTTTTTGGGTCAAATCATCTAATTTACACGTGGACATGGTTGAGGCTTCATGACACCAAAATTGGTGTTGGCTTTTAATAATAGAATAGATAGATTATGCTAATTTGTGATAGGCTTTCCCATATTGTTAACATACCTGAATGCGTTGTAAAACCATCGAGCCTATTAGAACTAAAATCCAGCTCCTCCAAGTTATTCAAATGTTTGAGAGCTAGTCACAAGTCAAGAAAATGAGAATATTAGTTTTTCAAATCTTGCAGTACCAGTCTCGAGAATTCTTAGTTGAGATTGGAAAGAGATAAACTTTAAACTCACCATCAATGTTGATAGTTCCCTCCAAGTTGTTAGCACCTAGATATAAAGACTTAAGAGAAGTTAACCCGCCCAAAGTTGAAAGGATACTGTTATTGAAGCTATTGCCAGTCAAATCAAGCAATTGCAGGTTGCTCAGCCTTGCCAGCTTCTCAAAACCTGTAACACAGTCAACAATATATATATGCATATATCACAATTAGTCACAAAGCACGACATGCCTTTTGTAAACATTGTCTGAAAGCAAACAATAAAAAAACCTTCATTATTCTCAAGGCAACCCTGTAATCCGTTGTTTGACAAATCCAGACTTTCAAGTTCTTCAAATGGTAGAAACATGGAGACATTCAGACAACGATCTTCTAATCTCCAATAAATAATATGTTCAACAATGAGTGAGAGTTGGATCACTCGCCCTGTTTTGGTGTTGCACTTGACTCCTTCCCATCCGCAACAGTCAGTAGTTGCTTCACCCTTCCAAGCCTCCTCCCATGTTTCTACGGTATTGCGATTCGGATTGTGGATGGAAGCTTTTATTTGCAGAAGAGCAATCCTCTCTTTCTCCAAACACCCATAACACTCGCTAACCAAAACCAACATTACCCACAACCACACCAACCTCATCTCTATAAACATGATGACACACCTATTTCTTCTTTGCACGTTTTGCACAAACTCAGAATTTCACATTTAGCACCCAAGTGCTAGTCTTTATAAAGGCACAAAAAGCACCATGATACATTGGGCTCGAGATGTTATTTGGTGGTATGAGACATGGTTAGGTGGTGTTTATAAAGTGTTGTGATTAATAACAGGGTGAAACTCATAATTTTGTAAACAGGAGGCTTTACAATTAATAATTAAAAATTGATATATAAGTTCACTTTTTAGACTCATTTTCTAAATTTAATGATGTGTAAGTAATATGATTGGTTAGGGCTAGACATAGGGTTATCCGAACTGCACACCTCGCCTAACCTGAACCAATCCACATATAAATTGGCCGTTTCAGGAACATAATACGGGCGGATATAGTTTGAAATATGACATGACTGCGAGTTGCGGGTTTAATTCGCACCCATAAGAACCTGCCCACACTTAGACCTTTTTATTTTTTTTATTTGTTATAATCTGGACCATTGTTATTTTGTTATTGCATTTTGAATGATTGAAAAAGTTAATAAAGAATTACTTTTAGGTAAGCTTAGGATTTTAAATGATTTCACTTTAGTTATATTGTTGGGTAGTAGATAGTGAATGGGATTGATGATCTAATTTAGGATTTTGAAAGATGTGCTTGTATTAGTTTATGATTTGATTTAAAAGTTTAGGATTTTGAATGATTTGTTTGTGTTAGGAATTGATTTTATTGTGTTTTTGATTTTATAAGTTTTAATTCATTAATTATTAATGTTGGAACATTTTAGAAAATGGGGGGAAAATGGCCCAAAATAAATATTTACAAAATGGGAAAAAAAAAGCTCCAAAATAATTTTTTAAAGAAAAAAGTCCAATCCGCAAACCGCTCGTACATCTACGAATCCTATTCGTACAAACCGCAACCCGCATTGAGGACTGTTGCAGGTTGAAATTTTCCCAAACCACATACATGCGGGCGGGTTTAAATCGATCCGCAAACCGTCCAAAACCAAACCGCGACCACCCCTATAATTGGTTGATGATTAAAGAATATATGAGAGATAATGTTACCTTTAATATCTTAATTAATTGTTATATCATTAGACTTAGAAATTGAATTTAATTTTTGATTTTAAATAACAATGCCTTTAATAATTAATCGAGAGTAGGGACATGTCACTAAAACATATAAGAGTTTTAGAGATCAATTGTTTTGATCTTTAAAAGTGAAAATTTTGTTGCAAAAGATATTTAGGAATCAATTTCCATCGTCATGAAGATAGTCTCTAAAAGGTCATCTCGAAAAATAAAAAATAAGGTTTTTAACGATAAAATTTTGAAAATGTTACTAATAAATAGACTTTTAGGGACAAAATAATTTGGTCTTAAAATGATTTATTTTTTTAGATAAAAAATTTAGTCATAAAAGGATAATAATTCATCACTAATGTCCAATTTTTATTATTAAAAATATAATGACTACGCCTTTCGTATGAAAATTATTTCGTTCAAAAAAAATAATTTTATTCATAAATTTTAGATTCTAAAATTTTTTTTTTTTTTTTTTTTGGGTCGTGTGTAGGCCCTCCCCCACATTGATTTGGCAACATTTTTTTTGGAAAAATCAAAACAAATTATCTCCTCCATAAGAATGTAGTGGTAACGTGGTTGGACTTCATTGATCAAATGACTAGCCTCAATCCAGGTCAACATTGTAACAGACGCCAAATTTGAATTCTTATCCACACCCACGAAATGGCCCACCTTGTCTAAAAGTTGAGATAGTGGATCAAAAACATGTAACTATAATGCATTTAGTTCTCATCCACACACCCACCAAATGGCCCACCTTATCCCCAATAAAAAATAACAATTGGTGAACTTTCGCTTTGCAATATAATTATAAAGTTCATAATATATTACAATGATTCATAATTTTAATTTTAGAATCTGTATTATAAATTTTTTTTTTATTTGTAGCTTTTTCAACAAAGTGACTTAATATTTCTTATGATATGCTTCTTTTAAATTTAAAATCGTTAATTTTTTTATTCATAATTTTTATTACAAAGTGATTTAATATTTTTTTACGATAAAATAATTAATTGTTAGATTAGCAATTAGGAGAGTTGAACACACTATGCAAGAGTCTTGCCTCCCATTCCACTCCTAATAATGGAACCGAGGACCTTGCAGATTTGATTGTCAAAGGACTAACTAGCCACACAGATTACAACCCCTTTATTTGATTTTAAATTTAAAATTATCAACTCCATTAGTATTTTGATTCCCAGATTACAATCAAATTAGTCCGAAAATTGAACATCTATTTAGTTTACACAAATTTTTTATTATAAAATTACTCAATTACTATTTTTCTTTGCACTTGTTGGTCTCTTTAGAAGCTTCTTTATTTTGTAATTGCTTATTCCATCTTAAAAAAAAAGGTACCCATCAGCTAGGAAAAGTGTTTCGTTTGACAAGTATTCCACAGTGATGTATTTCATGTGACAAAGTGTTCCATATAGTTGGATTGATTGAAGGACCCTTAAGTCTGGTCTAACTTGGGAAAAATTATATAGCCGTGGTTGGACAAATTATATAGCCGTGTTTGTAGTAATGGTTCTAACACCTAGTTTGGTTTGATTAATCACCTAGACTGATTGGTTGGTTTGGCTATATTTGTTTTATTATATTTTGTAGAAATTTTATTTTATTGTTTTTGTATTAAAAAAATAGGTGTCTATTTTCAAAACATACTTGTTACCTATTTTTTGTATAAATTTTTTAAAATCTTATGATAATTTCCTCTCAAATAATGATATACAAATAAGAATTTCAAACAAAATTTACATACAGAATGATGAGCCACATCATTTTCATTAATTTTTGTGCATATTTATTTATTTATATTTATAAATCAATTTTCTTTCCTTCCACAAAGAGCATCTCCAAGAGACTATTTAAACAAGTCAAGTTAGTTATTATAACTAATATCATCATATTTTAATCACTCCAATGAACTAGTTATTGTAATAATTATTTTAACAAAAATCTTTAATACTAGCTACATTTAGAGAGTCTTAGGATGCTCTTTAAACAATTTGCATATATAAATAGGTAAAATAAGAACTAAAGTACATAAATAGAAAAGAAATTAAAAAAAAAAAACATATCTTTCTTATATTTTAACTCGTAAGAAATGAAAAGTATGGTTAAAGTTGTTCTTATGAATTATAGCTTGTTAGAATTTGGGCGCCCATGTGGCATGACCCTCAGAACCTTTTGAACCTTATCCAAATGGGTTTTGAATTTGAATTCAAACCTATTTGGATAGCCACTCATGATATATATCTATCATATCATGATATGGATAGATGATATAGATATCAGATATTATCTCATATAACAAATATGGATAAATGAGATAAATAGAATATATATCTGATATATGGGATATGGGTGATTGTGTGGAAAAATAACGTATGTTTGAGTTTTTTTTCCATATACTGACTCTCTCCCAAAAAATAACGATCAAAGCCATTTGCACTGTGGTTTGTGTGGGTAATATTCACTATTGTAATATCACCTCATTGCTGGGTTGATTGACCAGATTCAGGAAGCACGTGATTTACCCACGAGATCCTTCAATTCAGACTCTGATTGAAAGGTATGACCATAATATTTATTCCGCTGCGCTATACTTTGTTTACATTGGTATCAGAGCGTTAATGGATATTTTCGTGTTTCCTTTAATCATGTGTATATTTTTATATATATATGTATACATTATATACATGAATGTTTGTAAAGGAGAAAAAAAAAACTACTTTTATTAGATTAAGAGCATAAATATTTTTTTTTTATGTTCATTAATGTCTTTTTTAATACCATAAATGGTTTTATTTTGAAAAAAGGAGTCAGGTAGTACAAAAATCGGACCAGAAAACACCCTGGAAGGCGGCGTGTGGTCTGCATGTGCCACTTGATGCCGTGAGCTGCTCCCATGCGCTGCCACGCGCTCCCACGCAACCATGCTTAAAACAAAGCTATAACGCGCCGAGCCGCGCTTTGAACCGTGCTCCGAGCCGCGTGCTGAGCTGGGCTCGCTGAGCCGCGCCGTTTTCCTCCGCCGGCTCAACTGGCTTGGCTACTGATGTATTAGGCGCTGTTTGTTTTATTTTTAATTCTGAATCGCGTTAAATTGCCATAATTAATTTGTTATAGATTTGTTTTAAGCATGGTTGGTACCGTTAGACTCAGAATTAATTTTTCTACATTCTGTAAAATTTTGAAAATTTTATGAAAATAAAAGATATTTTTCCTGAAATAATAATGCATTATTTTTTGCTTTAAAATGCATCTGGTGTTGCATGATTAAGTTTCTGGGGCTGAATTTTTTATTGTAGACTACTGTTATGGTTTACTGTTTACTGGTATAATTGTAGCATTTTACCAGATTCTGGAATATTTATTTCTAATTTTATGTGTGTTTATTAGTTATTTAAAATTCCAAAAAAATTCAGAAAAATTTCAGAAAATTTCAGGATGATGTACTTTCTGTTATGGCATAATTTGAATATTTAATACAACATATTATTTTTTTTTAGAGTTTCTAATATGTTATAATTAGAAAAGCATGATTAGTTACTTATTTATTTATTTGAATTCCATTATTAAATGAATATAGCATGAGTTATTTGTAAATTTACATTAAGATGCTATTGTATGGAATTTATCATGCTTTGACATGCCATAGTCAGTGGGAGATTATTCGGTTGAGAGAAATCTTTGTAGATTAACTCCCAAAAACCAATATTTTGCGCATAAATTAAATTGAATTTTGGGTAATTGTCACCTGTGGCGCAAGAGATGATTACGAGCATAGCGGATTTTCGATTTTGCGACTTGTGTAATATTGTCACTATTTAATTTAGATTTTTGCAGCAAAATTATATTATGCTAATCAAATTAATCCCAATGCGAATTTCTCTCTAAATTGATTTAGTTTATGGAAGTCAATTGGTTGACCTAGACTTAGTAAAAATGTTCAAATGTGAACAAT